GTCCCTTTCAGTTAAACAGTAACTACATTACAACACTGATACTTGTTCTTATTCTCTAGAGGATGGTAATGCTGAGTGACCATCCCTCGGTCCCTTTCAGTTAAACAGTAACTACATTACAACACTGATACTTGTTCTTATTCTCTAGAGGATGGTAATGCTGAGTGACCATCCCTCGTTCCCTTTCAGTTAAACAGTAACTACATTACAACACTGATACTTGTTCTTATTCTCTAGAGGATGGTAATGCTTAGTGACCATCCCCCGGTCCCTTTCAGTTAAACAGTAACTACATTACAACACTGATACTTGTTCTAATTCTCTAGAGGATGGTAATGCTGAGTGACCATCCCTCGGTCCCTTTCAGTTAAACTTATCTATAGTAACTACATCACATCACTGATATTTCTCTGTTGTTTAGTAGACAAGGATACTGACAGGCTACGAGTGTTTATCTATTCATCCAGCTAGACTTTACACACGTGTAGGTTAAAATGTTTTACTGTATATGGTTAAGAAACCCTATCGCGTGTGATAACTTACCCATGATATGAGTAGGATGATAAGCCCTATTCCACATGGCGTCACAAAAACCCACAAGCCTGTCCTGTCGTATTCCACCGCGAGGGCGATTCCCACGGCACCGGCCATGTGCGCTAAGCTTTGAAGTGTCGTCGGTAGGTCCGCCATCGCTATTAACGTCACCCAGAAAGCCAATATGACGGAGTAAAAGTCACAGAACTGAAGAACACTTAGTCTCATCATACAGAAATTGTAAACTTCGGCGTCGCATGCATGGTATAACTAAATAGTATCAAGAAACGAACATTTAGAGACGCAACAGTAGTATTAAACGTTGTTCAAATTGTCACATAAAATTCTTCTAAATTAGGCTAAATAAAATAGTTTATTTTACTTTGTTTAGGATTAATCAATTATATAATCGAACAAAATATTTACCTTCCATCTCAAGCTATTCCTCTTTCTTCTTTTTGTTTTTAGGTTTTCCTTGTTTGTAATTAAGCACAAAGCTTCAAATGGGCTATCTGTGCTCTGCCCACCACGGGTATCGAAACCCGAATTCTAGCGTTATAAGTCCGCAGACATACCGCTGTGCCACTGGGGGGCATTTAGGTTTTCCTAATAATGGTTAATGATACCTTCCTAAGACCTCGTTAAGATGGCGCTGGAGTAGCGATGCTGAAGATTTTTTAGTAATCAATAATGGCGAAACGAAGAAATAATAAATACAACACTAATACATTTTAAAACTGAAAAAGCGAGGATCTTGAATCAATACTATATACATATACACACACACAGAGCAAGAAGTAGAGACAATGTTTCACAATGTAATTTTGACATTTAGTGTTCTCAACAACAAGAATTTCCGTTGTGGTTTACAAGTTAAACTAAAAGAAATTAGAGTAATTCAAAAACTTGTAACTATATACTTGAGTGTTACTAGGGAACGTTGGTTAATAATTAACTGATTTCCATATCTTAATGACTGTACCTTTTTGCGTGATAACATCTGTTATACAAACCAAAAGTAACGTATCACTAAAGTTTCAATTTGCCAAAAACATCTTTCATACAGGACGTCATGGTAACTATCATATAATATTATTATAAACGATAACGTCATAAAGCCATAACAACATTATTACTGGAAAAACAGCTATTTAAAGAGTGTTTTCACATACAGAATAATGGTTCCCAACATTGTCTCTAATAGTTCCTAACACAAGGTACAAGAAGGCGACCTAACATTAACCTTGATGGTTCCTTACATAAGGTAGAAGAAGGCGACCTAACATTAACCTTGATGTTTCCTTACATAAGGTAGAAGAAGGCGACCTAATATCATCCCTGATGGTTCCTAACACAAGGTAGAAGACGGCGACCTGACATCATCCCTGATGGTTCCTAACACAAGGTAGAAGAAGGCGACCTAACATCATCCCTGATGGTTCCTAACACAAGGTAGAAGAAGGCGACCTAACATCATCCTTGATGGTTCCTAACACAAGGTAGAAGAAGGCGACCTAATACCATCCCTGATGGTTACTAATACAAGGTAGAAGAAGGCGACCTAACATCATCCCTGATGGTTCCTAACACAAGGTGGAAGAAGGTGACCTAAAATTATCCCTTATGGTTCCTAACACAAGGTAGAAGAAGGCGACCTAACATCATCCCTGATGGTTCCTAACACGAGGTAGAAGAAGGCGACCTAACATCATCCCTGATGGTTCCTAACACAAGGTGGAAGAAGGTGACCTAACATCATCCCTTATGATACAACTTGTAATAATTTCAACAGCTTGTTTTCTACTTACCACAGAGAAGCACATTGTGAACAAGTAGACCAACCCTTCTGTGTAGTGGAGTCGGTATACCGAGAGAAGAATGGCCGGAATGAAGGCAATGTTACTCAGAGTAAGAAGCAACACTTCTAGGAGTTGCTGGGCGTCCGAAACAGCATTCGTATCGTCTGTACAACCCCAGCCACGCCAACCTTTGGGCGAGGAAAGTCCCGTTAAAAAAAAAACTCTATTAATAGTGGACTCACTACTTATGTTTTAAAGGAAAACTTACTTTATTGTAATTCTTAGTCTAAAACTACTAAAGAAATGTATAACTACACCAGCAGAATTATTCGTACCTCTTTTAATATGTGTCGCTCCGCGGCAAGCTTGAGAGCTTACAACGTTAAACTCAGAGGTTTGATACCCCGATGAGCGCAGCGCATAGGTCCCACTGTGCAGCCTTGGGCTAAAACAAAACAATGACCAAGATTATTACATTGGACTTTAACGCTCTCAAGATGTGTTAAACCTGAAAATAAAATGGTATATCTTCATAATATAATAAGTAAACATTACCTGAAGAACAAACACAAGTACTAAACACAAATCCACCGCTGTAGTAACTGTAACACTTGCCGTGGTCTCCACAATTGTTCTCAACACAAGACGAAGAGTTGACGTTTAAGTTAACAGAGGTTGTGTTAGCATAACACCGGACGTCCACTACCTCACTATGACAAAAAACAAAACATTGTACTCTGTATAGCTTGAAAGGGGGCATAGAGCAATCCATTCTTTAACAAGATCGACAACCCTAGAAATATGTAATGTTTAAAGTTACATTATGATTTTAACGTTCTTTAAAACTACACTATGATCTTGACAACGTTACAAAAATCCTTGTTTAAAGCTACTCTATGACCTTAAAAACATTTAGATCAAGTATAACTTCTTAAATTAATAAGCAAGTTTTGTTTGTTCTTCTATTGAAAAGATATAAACATCTCTACAGTGATTTCTACAACAGCCTTAGGAAAAAACAGATCTCGTGCCGATTTCTTACTTCGGTATATAACAAGACTAGATGGTGTAAATTATACAAACACTGGGAATATGAACTCAATGTACAAGAAGGAAGAAAGTTCGTATTCCCTCCATGTGATTGTCATCGTTTTTGTTTTCATAGTATTTATCCATACACGCAGAGGATTGAGTATGTTATATCAAAACGATCTTAAATACGCAAATAATCAAGTCACATGACAACAACGTCGTGATGGAATGGCATGTATCAGAATTACATTTTGACATTGTGTGGCTTCGTAGGAGTGTGATGCCACCGAAAATTATCTTTGGAAAGGGTGTGTAAAAATCCCTTTCGGTGCGAAAGATTCATTCACTCAATTCATGAGTATGCTTAGATCGTGCATGGATTTAGAATTTCCAAGACAGGGATATCCTTTGCACTTAATAGCATTTGAAAACAAAGGAATGTGTATCAACTTGGGTACCCAGAACCCTCCAGAAAGAGACCTGCAACAAGTACCCCAGCCATTGTAAGCAAAGTGTGGCGTTTTGTAACAAGTGAGAGTGAACTAACACGATGGTGAAAGCCGGCCACGTGCCATAGCCAACAGAACATGACATAACAAAGAAAGTTCTTCATCTGAAAAAGCGACATCTATGACATGTAAACAAGGTGCTTCCATGAAATATTCAGCTGTCACATACCTCAAGCTGCTGGAGAATGAGACGTGCATACATGCAATTTCATATAAAACATACCAGTCAAGTCTCCTAAGGACTTCTACGTGATCGGACTTTTTAAACGTACTACCTTCGCCCTTGTACACGATGGGTTATGGAAACTATGTCTGAAACAGTGAGGCACTTTTGACATGACAAACTTACGACAGAGCCTTTTGCAATAAAAACTATGCTGTAGGGTTATTGTCAATATGCATGGCCATCAGAATGAATAAGACCGTAAGTGGCGACATGGACTGTAACGACGTGGTGAGTCTCCAAAATAGTTTTTGTATAACATACTCAACCTCTGTACAGAATGTCGCTAGTTGTGTTTTTATAACACAAACCACAGGTTACAGTAACTTCTCTTTACTACACCACCTATAGAGTTAGATACAATTACTAGGGTTATATCTGAGTTAACACTGGCCACCTACTTTTCGTTCCCCTCTTTCTCTTGAAAGTAGCAATGAGGGGTGAGGGTGAGATACCACATCCCCGCCTCTGGAAATGGCACCACCATAGTGAGCACCCTATTTGTTGCTGTGCTTGTGTTCACGCTGCCCTCCAGCCCCGTCCGACAACTTCCATTTTCTGACAATGAGGGACGTATACCATATTCCAGACAAGTTGTCAAGGATATATTGTTCATCGTGATGTTCTGGAAAAAAAAAGTTGTTAAGCGGTTTAAAAAATCATTAAAAATTAATTATAGATTTTAAAATGAAAGAAACACTTGGAGGATTTTTTTTTATATATATGCATAGTATGGTAAAGCTGATCAAGTGGTATCTTAAGTCTGTACACGGTATGGTAAAGTTGATCATTTGGAGGAGATTTTTACATGCACAGTATGGTAAAGCTGATCAAATTGTATCCTAGGTCTTTGCGCAGTATGGTAAAGCTGATGAAGTGGTATCCCAGATCTGTGCACGGTATGGTAAAGCTAATTGAGTAATATCCTGAGTTTTGACTGTCTAGTTGAAACATTAGTTTTTTTTTTAAGTTTAAACTCATAGTTCCATACTACTTTTTTTGGTTCATCTGCTGCCATCTAGTTTTTACTTCAGAAATAAAAATTTCCACTGTGACACCTTAAAGAAAATGGACAAGTAGAACTAATATCATCACGAATAAAGACAAACAGAACATATAGAAATAGCATGTTTCCAGCTGAATAAATAAATAATTTTTATTTTCGTTCATTTAATAGTGTTAATGCCTGTAAACAGCATATTAGAAATCAAACAAACTTACTATGGTAACGGGTAGAGCCACTGTAACTTCCAAAGTTCCACCAATATCTCGGACGGGATAAATTTCGAACGTTGTCAGTGTCGTCGTCTCCGTCGAGATATTTAGAAAAGGCGTGCCTCTGTTGTTAGACCAAGGAACGTACCAGAAGGCAAAATTTCCCCCCTCGGCGTGGCGGACTAAAGGTATCCTCTTCCAGCAACATCCCGAGCAGCTGTCTATGTGAGAGAAGACTGGATTCGGAGTAGCGTACTTCAGTGTTTGCGGAGATTCGAGTAGCTGCGGTGATTTTCTAGATAGCTCTTTTTTTCTGCCTACTTTGGCTTCTGTGTGGTGTGTATGACCGCCCGCTCGTGGTACCGTCACGTGCTTGTTCGGATCTTTCTCAGTTTCTTGGCAAACTAGTGCAAATGTTTATATCGAGAGTTTCAAAAATAGATTAAAATGAAACAATCTTATACGTAATTCTTTCACTGCACGTGAACATGATGGTCAATAAAGGCGAAATTAATATACTGAGGTCAATTTTCCAGTAAACATAAATCATGTCTCTGCTTCAAATTAAACATTGTCTCAATTATTATCCTTATATCTTTATCTCATATCTTTATACTATCCTAACACCTTCCAAAAATTACATTTTTAAGACGACCATTTCCTTTGATTAAAATGTTTTATTTAATGATGGTCAGATTATTAAGTATAGCCTGAATATAAAAATAACGTCACGTTGATCACACCTGTAAAATCCACCTGGATACTGAACTCAATGGTTGTATTTCGCACTACTTCCACCAAAATGTAGTTCCAATTCTCGTCGCTAGAGGTTATAGTGGCAGCACAATCTGCTCCAAGTGAGGTCCGTGTGCATTCAATCACAGTTTGGTCGAGTACATCTTGGACAACAGAAGGAAGTGCCTTGGGTCTGACTAGAAATACCAGTGGACATTGGACATCCGTGGCTACAGGTATTGAAGCACAGCTCGTAACGGTGACCGTTACTGACCAAGTGTCTCGTGGAGCATAAAATCTGGAAGACAAGTGGAGGTTTGAAGTCAATGACACGTGTTTATTTGAATTGCCTTGTATACCTTACCTGCGTTCGGGATTTTATGTGTGAAAAAAATAAATAAATCGGATAAAAAGAAATACCTAATAACCGTAAGAATATCGAAATATCAAGAAAGCAAAAGGATTACTTGAATAATATTTGTGAACTACTTGTAATACTTAAAATGAAATCTAGAGGTCTGTATTTATGGCAAAGCTACTAAGTTTATGTGTCGTTGTCTCTTATTTTAAACTACTGAACAGAGGGAAGGCTGACAGTCAGCAGCACCTACCGTCCAAGCTAAGGAATTAACTGTTACTTTTATAACGAAGCTACGGCTTAAAGTGTGGGGAACATTTTGTGTTAGCTTACGGATTTGAACCCGACTTGCCCACTCCGAAATACAGAGCTCTACTATAGCTACAAACTTCACTTCAACTGTATTAAGTTTTTAAAAAATAAATATTACAATTAAAAAAAAAAAGTTAGCCAGCAAATGTATTGGGACAAACACACAAATACAGGGGGTTTCGTGCACGACTTTACAAAGCAACGTGAAATACTTAGTTGTTGCTATCTAAGGTCGCTGTTAACAAGTCCAGAAAATGAAAGAAACCAAACCTTAAACGAATACTTTATAAAGGAAACTCATTCTAAAAGACACTACTGAAAGGGCAGGGCGTGGCCTGGTTGTTTGCGTGCCTGGACTATGAATCTGTGGATTCGTGGTTCGTAACATTTCACCGGGGCTACGCACTTTGGGACTGGGTGGGCGTTAAAAAAGTGATGGTCAAATCCCATTATTAGATCAGACTCGGGTAACTCAAGAGTTGAGGATAATTGGAGCTGACTAGCTTTCTTCTCTGTAGTCTGTCATCTCAAAATTAGAAAGCCCTACACTAAATTCTAAATCAGACAAATATTAGTGAAAACAGAATGATTCATATATGTTCATATCTTTGTTTGAAAGCTTATTACGTTAGAACACTACAGCAACATCCACTCTTTCAAAAACAGCAAAAAAAAATTAAACAAGGTTTAGTGTTGATCATAAAACAGAAATACATTTGTTTGATGAAATAAATATGAAGCCCAATCTATCACTGGGGAGTAATAGTGTTGGTATATGTTGGGGTACGTTTGTTTGTAGCACAAAGCTACACAATGGACTATCTGTGATCTGCCCACCACGAGTATCGAAACCCGGATTCTAGCGTTGTAAATCCGCAGACATCCCGCTGTGCCACTAAGGGGCGTTGTGGTACTTTGGCTATTTTACCTGTAGTAGTGTGGTGCTGATATCTGTTGTGGTAACGGCTGACCCGGTGACAGAGTTGGCACTTCCTCAACGGTTTCAGTTATCAAATTCGACGTTAACCACGCTTGACATGGAAGATAACTTCCCTGAAAAACAAACGAGACTTAAATTAGCGAACACTAAATAATGAACCATCTCTTGAAAATTATTTGAATAAAAGTGTAACTTAAAATCGAATTGAGAAATTAATTTGTAATGAAATATTTATTATAGCAGCTTCCCTCCTCACGGTTCTTAGACCTAAATGATACCCCTCTTGGAAATCAGTAGCTCATAATCGTAGCAGTTCACTGAAAAATTATTTGTATTTGTATAATTAGCCTATAACCCGAGCGCTTTCGAAAAGTGGACCTTTCTTCTTGAGAGGGTAAATTGAATAAGAAAGGTTCATCTTTCGAAAGTGCTCAGATTATAGGGTTTTTATTCATTTCTATCAAGACTTTTTGAACCTACGTGTTTTTCTAACATCATGAACGTATAATTAGCCTAACTGATAAAATTTCTCATGATTAATTAACATAATATTTCACTGTACTGGTGAAGGTACACCCGAAAACAGCAGAAACGTATCAAAATTTATCTAAAAACAACAAATAATAACCGAATTATTTTATAACTTATCTTTCAGTGAATTAATTTTTTTCTTTCTTCGCAAGTTACCTTGTCTTAGGCATTTTCTAGAGAATCGTTGGGAAAATATAGGAGTTAACAAATAGTTTTTCTGTCTTTTACAAATAATAACATACCCCACTTTTACTTTAGTTTATTTCCTGATGTGATTGGTTATAATGTTGAAACTACTTCTGAACATTATTTTCATTTATTTACTTATATGCTTATGAAGATTATTTTGCATTATTAGCTCACAGTATGGACGAAGAACTAATCTAAGCCTTCTAAACTTACAGAATCTAATGAAATATTGTTTAGCTGATGTTTATTTTAATAAAACTGAGGAACATAGAACTTACCATCTGTACTATGTTGTCAAATTTCTCGGCTACGAAAGCGATAGCATACCAATCTCCCGAGAGAGGGCAGGAGATATTCAACTGCGCAGTCTCCGAATTCGTAAGCAGAGTCACGTGATGGAGATGCTGACGACGAAGATGGAACCCGCGTGGAAATGTTTCGTTTTGTGGGTTTACTACAGGATAACTTCCGTACTGTAGGTACCTGGACGATGAGCAAATTATTTCCATTATTAACAAAACACCAGTTTTGAGTTTCACTGTGGCCACGTTCAATCTGCCACAGGGTTGTCCTAAAGTGTTAAAACCAAAAATCTAACACCATGTCATATATATAAACAATCAACGAAATTATGTTGTTTCTAAGTAAATTACACCATAGAATAAACATACAGATGATTATTTGGATATAATCTCAACTGTTTGCTAGTCCTAACTGTTGCTGACGTGGCCTTGTTTCATTGGTCAAGATGTCTAACATTTTTAAATATAGCTAATACAACTGTTTTATTGTGTTCAAAATATTTATTTATATATGTATTATGTTACACGTGTACAGAAATGATTATTTTGTAATCGGAGTTCAACTTGGCAAATACCAAACACGGATTTAGGATTCTGTGAAAATGTGCGTGATAGATGACGCTTTCGTGGTAAAACATTTTCACGCATTCGGCGAGCTCCTCCTCCAAACGTTTTAAAATTTAATTATTAAAGGAAATTTAGTGGAAATAGCTATAAGAAACTTTCTAGCTCGCCCTAGACTGGTTTATAATATTTTCAACTTCATAAAGAGTAGCTGGGTGGCTTGAAAGACGCAAACCGAAACCGAGACTTAAAATTGAATTTCATGCCCGATAGAAGTCAGGAGACTCCATTAACCGCGCTTATCCTCAGGTCCCTCCAAGCAAGGAATTCTTTTATAAGTAGAACGGAAATTTAAGTGATTATCATAAGTTAAAAGATGATTATATTTTGATCTAAACCTCGCTTCACTTAGTCGAAACTCATTAAAATTAAAACATGGTTTCTAAAACTTTTTAACTACTACAATCTTAAGAACAACATGTTCCAGAATTTTGGTAATAGCGGTATGTCCTCGGACAAAATATTAGTATTATTGTTTTTGATTAATTTATGTGCAAAGCCGTACCAACCACATAAACTTAACTTCGATAGTTAGTGTTATAAGTCCTCAAGCTAACCGCTGAACCTCCATTGTTTTTTGGTAATTTTAATCGTGATTAAATGCCCAATATAGACCCCCGAAACGCTGTATCAAGAAAAGAGGTCCACAAAACTAACTTGGTTCATTAATTCCAGATTGGTTTAACTTCATTTATTTGTTTTTTTAATTCTGTCATTAAATTATATCGTTAATTGCATATTTTTATGTTAATAAGTTTAGTATTTCACGTGTTACATTTAGTAACAGGTGTTAGTTCAAAGTATGGTGTATTTGTTGCTAAAAGTTCAAAAAATACGAATGATGTCTAAAAACTTCAAATACTTCTGATTTCTAATACTGCGTTCGGAAAGTTAATATTTTAATCTAGTTATTTACAGGAAGAACATAGTTACAAATTCTAGATAAAGCTCCGATCTAAACGCCAGTTAGTTGACTGAAATCCTGACAAATAAAATCTGTGTTTGAATGTTTGAAGGGTTTAGCTTCAACCTTATGCTATTAATGAAGTATTTCAACCCCAGTCAGCTGAAATCTGTGGAAGTGATGTGAAAATTTGTACGCGTATAGGTTGAATAAGCTATTGAACATCTATACGTGAAGACGTTGAATAAGATACTGAACATCTGTACGTGAAGACGTTGAATAAGCTACTGAATATCTTTATGTAAAGACGTGGAATAAGATACTGAGATCAGTACGTGAAACGTTGAATAAGATATTGAACATCAGCACGTGAAGACGTTGAATAAACTACTGAATATCTTTATGTAAAGACGTGGAATAAGATATTGAGATCAGTACGTGAAACGTTGAATAAGCTACTGAACATCTGTATGTAAAGACGTTGAATAAGATACTGAACATCAGTACGTGAAGACGTTGAATAAGATACTGAACATCTGTACGTGAAGACGTTGAATAAGATATTGAGATCAGTACGTGAAAACGTTGAATAAGATACTGAACATCAGTATGTAAAGACGTTGAATAAGCTACTGAACATCAGTACGTGAAGACGTTGAATAAGATATTGTATCCAGAGGGTCTACATACTATACCTGTATGCCCCGAGGAGCGCTTATATTATGTTCTATTGCGCACACGTCACTACAACAACTTATAGGAGAGTTCACTGACACGTTCTAATACCAAAGAATTTAAAATCATTACTCAATAATAAAAAATATAAATTCCATTTCCTTTTTAGCGAATGAGAATCGACGTATTAGTTGTACGCAAAGAAATATGACATCTCAATGTAACAATAGGGCTGGGTTTGAGATTATCGAGTAATTCCGAGATATTCTTCTACAATTCAACAAATCAACGAAATATGACATCCCAAGATAACAATAGGGCTGGGTTTGAGATTATCGAGTAATTCCGAGATATTCCTCTACAATTCAACAAATCAACGAAATATGACACCCAAGATAACAATAGGGCTGGGTTTGAGATTATCGAGAAATTCTGAGATATTCCTCTACAATTCAACAAATCAACGAAATATGACATCCCAAGATAACAATAGGGCTGGGTTTGAGATTATCGAGAAATTCTGAGATATTCCTCTACAATTCAACAAATCAACGAAATATGACATCCCAAGATAACAATAGGGCTGGGTTTGAGATTAATGTTACTCTACATATGATACGTAAACTGATAATTTGAGATTTAAATGAAAGCATTGGAAAGAAAAATCGCGAGTTTCTCAGTCTCGTTAAATTCGTCGAGAATAAAATTTGTTCTATTTACTGTTAAACATGCTATCCTCTTAAAGAAGACAACTGAAAACATACCACAACTGTCTTCCAAAATTACCCCTAACCAATACCACAACCGTCTTCCAAAATTACCCCTAACCAATACCACAACCGTCTTCTAAAATTACCCCTAACCAATACCACAACCGTCTTCTAAAATTACCCCTAACCAATACCACAACCGTCTTCCAAAATTACCCCTAACCAATACCACAACCGTCTTCCAAAATTACCTCTAACCAATACCACAACTGTCTTCCAAAATTACCCCTAACCAATACCACAACCATCTTCCAAAATTACCCCTAACCAATACCACAACTGTCTTCCAAAATTACCCCTAACCAATACCACAACCGTCTTCCAAAATTACCCCTAACCAATACCACAACCGTCTTCCAAAATTACCCCTAACCAATACCACAACTGTCTTCCAAAATTACCCCTAACCAATACCACAACTGTCTTCCAAAATTACCCCCTAAACATGAAGCCAATTATGTAACAATACTAACTGTAACCTATACCACAACTGTCTTCCAAATTTCACACTTTAATCGGTTAAACATAGTAAAACTTTTGTATATTTTATTCACTACATTTCACCAGGATTACCTGGCATCATCGGGTGGGGTACAAGAACTGAGGCTAACAGAATTAAATTTAAAAAAAGATCACGTGAGAATCTATAACAATAGTAATCTTCAAGCACACGATTAGGCAATTGCAAATAATAAATTAATTTATCAAAGAACTGTCAAATTTAGGTAAAATAAATAAAACTTTTAGGCCTGAGTCTAAATATTGAAATTCGTTCTAGAAGCAAGAGAGAATGGAACTAAAATATATCTAAATGAACACCTTTGTATTCGATCGACACAATAAATCCAACATGAAGACTCGAATCAAAACGTCATTATCTGACAATGGTCAATAAATTACAGAAGGCTATCCGAGACACAGTGGTCAGTAAAAGATGGAATGTTACTCTAGGCACAGTGGTCAATGAAAGACGGAATGTTACCCGAGACACAGTGGTCAATAAAAGACGGAATGTTACCCGAGTCACAGTGGTCAATAAAAGACTGAATGTTACCCGAGACACAAACAGTCAACAAAAGACGGAATGTTACCCGAGACACATTGGTCAATAAAAGACGGAATGTTACCCGAGTCACAGTGGTCAATAAAAGACGGAATGTTACCCGAGACACAAACAGTCAATAAAAGACGGAATGTTACCCGAGTCACAGTGGTCAATAAAAAACGGAATGTTACTCGAGACACAAACGGTCAATAAAAGACGGAATGTTACCCGAGTCACAGTAGTCAATAAAAGACGGAATGTTACCCGAGACACAAACAGTCAATAAAAGACGGAATGTTACTACCGAGACACAAACAGTCAATAAAAGACGGAATGTTACCCGAGTCACAGTGGTCAATAAAAAACGGAATGTTACTCGAGACACAGTAGTCAATGAAAGAAACAGCACTATACCAACGTTGAACATAATTCGTCAGAAATTTTAAGACCTAGCTTACGCTATCAAAAATGCGACCCACAGAATGTGAGAAAGTTTTTTATACAAAAATACTAAGCGCGGGAAGGTGACAAGCCCGCTTAGATGGTTTTAAAGTCGAGGGAGGAAGGCGGATCATTACTTAAAAAAGCTTCACGAGCGGCTCGATAAACTTCTCATGTGGTATGAAAAATGTATGAGTCCAGTAATGTTATTTTACTCACATAACAAATATAGACCGAATAATATTTGCATTCAGAAAAGAAAAAAAACTAAAGAGAACACGGACTTTGCAAGGCATTCTTCTCGTGCATCACTGAATAAATGATTTCTAGGTATAACGATAATTGTTGGTTTCCATGTTTAAGGCTCTCACGACGGATTCACTCCAAAATGTTAAGAAGACACCAAAGTCGCATACATAATAAGTACTAAAACTAATATTTGAAATACAAACATCACAGGTGTTGTTGTCTTGTCGGATAACAACAATAAGTATTGTTGTAACACGTAATCAGTACTAATGTTTGAAATACAAATCATCACTGGTGGTGTTGTATTGTCGGATAAAAACAATAAGTATTGTTGTAACACGTAATCAGTACTAATGTTTGAAATACAAACCATCACAGGTGTTGTTGGATAAGAACAAGAAGTATTGTTTATTCAGAGGAGTGTTATGTTATAAATACCACCTCTGATAGGTTCGACATTAACAACACACTAC